ACCTTAGTAAATCTGATGTCATTTTCTACCCCAGAGAGTTTTGAATCTGGTTATCATATCTCCACTTGTTTTTCGTTGATCTGGGGTTAAAATCTCGTTCATTCGGTCTCTCTTCATATTTTGTTATTTCTCAGTATGTCTTTGTAGTTTCTTTGTGTGTGTATTTCCAACGTGTTTATTCCTCTCATTCCCCAGTGTGGACTCACCGATTTGTACTTTTTAAGTACAAATCGGTGAGCCCTATCACATTTGCTCTTGAAAATGCATGGAGTTAGCTTCAACTTCTGTCTCATTTATATCCATTTTTACCACTCTGAGACATAAAAACTTTCTATCTTTCACTTATTACCATCGTATTTGTGACTTTCATGTTAAACAACTTCTGTCTGTCGATCTAGCAAGATCACTGAATGTCCTGGAATTGAAATCCACCGGCTGTTTCCCACTAACGTGGGTAACCCAAATAAATAAACACTTGATGGAACACTGCCGATGAGGTTAAAAAAAAGTGACATATATCATCTACTTCCTAATTTCCAATTCACATTTAAACTAGGTTTTATTGTTTACTGCTCTTACGCTGAAGTGTTTCTCGATGTCTCTGAGACTACGTTAGATCCAGTTTGTGTTCCTTCCCTTAAATAACAAAAAAAAGCACAATACCGTGACTGGAACTATACACAAATAACCCGCACATAGAAGAGAGGAGCTTACGACGACGTATCGTTACTTCCCATGTTCTACCTCAAACGCCGGCAGAAAGTTAATCTTTGTTTACCATGTCTTTGCTCTGGAGTATTTTGTATGTAGCGATCATATCTCCTTTTCTTCTATGTTGTGATACGTGTCTCTGTGGAGAAGTGTGTGTGTGTGTAACAACGTAGGAAGGGAGGAACTCTGCAGGCTCGAACTACCTACCCAGAGTACGTGAGGAGAACACACACTGCCTCTTACTTCACGGACGTTAATAAAGGAATTTCCACAAGGGAAAACCATTCTGATCATGTATTACACAATTCGTAATTTTAACTCGGGTTCCAGGAAGCATTTGATAATATACCCACAACATTTCAATCAGTACATAATTAAATATTACTTTGTCGAGCTGGAACTGGTACGGCGCTTCGGCGGATTAGAGAGACTTGGAAAAATGGGGAATGAGATGATTTATAATTATTATTATGATTATTATTGTTATTAATCTACAGGGAAGCCCCTTCCCTCCCCCCTTTCTGTCATAATTGGAGGATAACGAGAAAAAAAAGAAGCAGCAATGCAACAACAACTAACAAAAAACTCTCTAACTGGCTACTCGGGTATCCGAGGTTGTTCCAGCTAGACTAGGCTGAGAACAATGAAGCGATGGACGTGTTTTATTCTCTTTAACGATCGAGTAAAAAAAAAGGCGAACGAGAGAAATGGAAGATGATACAAACCATAAACGAGAAACAGAAACAATGGACGAGAGATGGAAAGTGAAAAAGGGAGATGGAAATCCAAGATACTCTGTACCTGCCACTGGAGGAAACTGCTCTTGTTTAAACGGAAATTTTATTCACCACATATGAATACGTCTGGAGTATGTGGTTGCCAGCTTTATGTGAGTGGGAAAGAAAGCTGGCTGTGTTTGCATTCCATCACATTGGAAGGGTTAACTTGCCATATTCCATCACACTGGAAGGACTAACTTGCCATATTCCATCACATCGGAAGGGTTAACTTGCCATATTCCATCACATCGGAAGGGTTAAGTTTCCATGTTACATCACACTGGAAGGGTTAACTTGCCATATTCCATCACACTGGAAGAGTTAACTTGTCATATTCCGTCACACTGGAAGGGTTAACTTGTCATATTCCGTCACACTGGAAGGGTTAACTTGCCATATTCCATCACACTGGAAGGGTTAACTTGCCATATTCCATCACACTGGAAGAGTTAACTTGTCATATTCCATCACACTGGAAGGGTTAACTTGCCATGTTCCATCACGTTGGAAGGATTAACATGCAATATTCCATCACACATGATGTATTGCATGAATGAAGTTATGAAATCCATAATTGTGAGTTGGAAGACTTCAGGAGGACGATGAGGATATCGTCAAACATTGTCATAATATGGGTTCAAAAAATTATTATATCACATATTAGAGTTTTGAGATCATGGAATATATATATATATATATAATATATATATATATATATATATATATATATATATATATATATATATATATATATATATATATATATATATATATATATATATATAATATATATATATATATATATAAGCGTTGACAATTCTAATTATTTATCTTCACTGTGTGCTAATGGAGTTACAGGAAGCTGACATCGAAGAAATGCTGAACACTGACAATGATGCACCTGTTGTGTATACCTTGAGTGATGGTGAAATTAGATGAATTGTGATATATAAATAAGCCGTAAAGTTGATATTAACATCATATTGAAGTATTTTGTCGTGCCTCCTAAAAGCAGGAATTCCGCTGGAACGGATTAATATCATTTAAATAAGGAAAATTGACTCAGCATACGAACAAGGTCACGGAACGAATTAAATTCGTAAGCCGAGGTTCCACTGTATATATATATAAATATATATATATATATATATATATATATATATATATATATATATATATATATATATA